GCATATTGCCGGCTTGTCTTCAGCTCCTTCCAGCCTCGTACTAAAGGACAGCACTTGGTCGGTCTTTTGGCAACAGGAGATGGAGCACAGCCCACGCACAGACTCGCAGCAGGGACCCATCGCTACCTTTTGGGTCAAGAGAAAGCCACTCGCTGTCCCAGCCAAGGACTCCTCTTCCTCACGCTCCTCCTCGACAACGTAAACAGATCGGGCAGGCCGGATTCTCATCAGCCGGGATGTTGGCTCTCTTCTTGGGAAAGGCTCATGGGCAATTTACAGCTCTGTTGAGAAACTCAAGTATTTTTCCTCCCAATTTTAAGAGACTCTTGCCAAGACATTCCAAGTTTTTAGACAAACCCACGCTCTCTGCCCCGTTCATCAAAAAAAAAGCTCTTCCATACTAGGGCCGTAAGAATCCCAAAGCACCAAAATATCTCTGTTTAAAGGAGAAATTCCCCTATGACACAGAACGGGAAGGAATTTCATCCTTAAGATAATTCCAAAGGCACTTAACATCCTATTTTCCCTTACTACCATTCTTTCCTTCCAGCAGAGCCCACGTTTTCTTACGTGGTTATGGACAAAAGCAGGTTTTGCCCGCGCATTCCTGTTCAAACCCAGCCGATTCAGCCACACGGGTTTCACATATGCTGAGCTCCATGAGACGACCAAGTGCCTTCAGAGCTGCCCTTGTAATGAGGGAAAAAAAATCAAGGTCCATCCAGGGGCTTCACAACTCAGGACCAGATCCTCAATACCATAAGTAGATCTTCCATACAGGTCTTCTATCATCAGTAGGATGTACTCAGACATCAACTGTTTATCTTGATGGGTCATTTAACTGACTGGAAATGTCATTGTCGAAGGATGTTCCCAAAATGTATTTCGAAGATGAACAAAAAATGTCTTTTTGTATCAATCTTCCCTTCCCAGCTCTCCAAGAGCATATGAGAATTGTCCATCAAATAACAGCGGGAGCAGCTGGTGGGCAACTGGGAAGGCATCGGATGCCTTCTGGAGGTCTGTCCAGCGCTGAATTGCAATCATCGAATCATGAAGGCTGGAAAAGACCTCAAGGATCATCCAGTCCAACTGTCAACCCAACCCCACCCAACCCACTAACCCATGTCCCCAAGCACCACATCCACACGTTTCCTGACCCCCTCCAGGGATGGTGACTCCACCATGTCCCTGGGCAAAATGCGCCAAGACAGAAGGTTACTTCAAGCTCTAGAGAGAAACTTCTAGAAAAGAAGTTTCTGAGCAGAACTCCAGAACAAGGCCATGGGGACTGGTGCTGTTGGTAGTTTTTGCCGTTTCTACAGTGGCAGAGGAGCACAGATGAACCTTGCGGGGGCTCAAGGATGCAGAAGCAAGGGCGTGTTCCCCGCTTTGGAGGAGAATTAAATGACCTCCTGCTCTGGATGTGGCTCTGCTGCTCCAAGAGATGGGTGTTGAGAAGGAATTCTGGTGTCCCGCTGGCTGTAGCAAAAAGAAATCTTTTCTTTGGGGTATTTCCAACCTGTTAATGTGAAATCACACAAAGCTCTGTGAAACCTCATCACTCTACAGCTGCCTGAAAGGAAGGTGCAGTGAGGTGGGTGCTGCCTCTTCTCTAAATGAACAAGTGATGGGACAAGAGGAAATGGCCTCAAATTGTGCCAGGGAAGGTTTAGGCTGGATATTAGAAGAAATTTCTTCACTGAAAGAGTGATGAGGCATTGGAACAGGCTGCCGAGGGCAGTGGTGGAGTGACCACCCCGTCAGGAAACGTGTGGATGTGGTGCTTGGGGACATGGGTTAGTGGGTTGGGTGGGGTTGGGGTGATGGTTGGACTTGATGATCCTTGAGGTCTTGTCCCACCTTCATGATTCTGTGGTTCTACGACACCAGCTGTGGAGGGGAGCCGGCTTGGCCGGAGGCAGAGGGAAATGCCCATCATTCTCCCTCTGTGCCAAAACGACAGGAAGTCACGTACCCGCATTGCTGCCGGGGAACGCGCCCAGTTTGGCACCACGACCTGGGTACTCTCTCAGGTGTTTGCCCTCCACATAGACACCGAGGCGATCCCACTCGAAGGAGGAAGGCTTTCAAGCAATGCTCACGTGCGGGACAATTCCCTGGAAGCTGTTGTGAGCACAGAGGCAAGAAATCAGGCTGCAGACATAGGGGTTCCAAAGAGTGGGCTGCTTGCAGAAGTCTCCATGGCAGATCAACGTCCTCGGGATCCTGGGTTTGGAGCAGGTCGCTCGTTCCGCTGCCCAGGAGCAGCCAGCACGGTACCTGGGGCTGGGCTCTGCTTTCGGAGAAGCCCCTGGGAACGGAGCCATCAGCTCACACCACTGACAAGTTAAGGTTTATCCTCCAAAATTACACTTAAACTAATGAAAAATAGTTACAGCCCAAGACTATCGTGCTCTGTTATTTGCTAAATCTGCCCTTAAAAAAATCTTATCACCAAAACCCCACTGGTTTGTCATGAAGAGCCTCGAAGGCTCTTTTCTTTCCTAGAAGGCTCCTGTGTCACACAAGGGCTCTTTGCAGCCCGTCTTCCGATGAGTCGTTTTCCTTGAACCATGACAATCTTTTTTGTGAGTGGAGGGCACATCCCTGCAGTGACAGGATTTTGCCCAAGTGCCCAGAGTTCAACTATTTTCACATGCAACACTCCAAAATTCTTTTTTTCATTCCTTCCAGGCACCACTCCTGGATTTGGTGTCACTGGGCACACAGGGACGTCTACTTGTAGCTCAAAGAATTCAAGAGGGGTGGGATCCCTCTGACTGCTCCCACTCTTTCACCGTGCTTTGTCCCCCTCACAAGCCAGGGTGAAACCACCGGATCAGCATGGATGACAAAGCCCAAGTGAGATGGATCCCCAGACACTGCTTTAAGAGGCTCTTCCTCCCCTCTAGGTACCAGATTTCCACGGTAATTTGGGGGTGTTGGGATCCTGATAACTGTCAGTGAGTCAGACTGGGAGTGGAAACCACGGTACATCTCACTGCTCCTAGAGAATTAAAGGTGGTAAATAAATAGGAACCTATTTGAAACAAGACAAGGCACTCGAGATGAAGAGTGACTGTTGAGCACATCCGTTGTGCTCAGATGGATGTTTTGCTCCTTAGAGCAGCGAAGTTCTGAGCACAGGGAGGAGAGCTCACACCAAGAGCACCGAGACTCAGCAGAGCCAAGTCTTCCCAGAAATTCAGAAACTATTTTTTTCAAACCAGTAATGACCACTAGAGCAGAACAGGAACTAAACACACACAAAAAAGACAACGTACAAACAGCACAGAAAGGACACAAAGCTGTACGGCCATGCTGGACGCTGTGTCGGCGTGCGCTGGAGCCCACCTCGGAGCAGGAGATGATGCTGTCGGATGCTGGCACTTTAATCTCAATGAACAACAACCTTGCAGGGAAGATGGCCAGCTGAGTGCCCCAACGGGGTGGAGGCACAAACCCTACCTTTCCTGAAGGTCATGGAGAGACTGCTCGGCTCTGTGGAGTCCCTCGAGGTCCTTCATCATCTTCTTCATGTGCTCCTTGGAGTAGCGGTTCTGGATGTAGGCGAACCAGCAGCCCCCCACTCCGATGACGATGGACACCACCAGCATGAAGTCCTTCAGGTGGTTGTGACGGGTCACTGGAAGAGAACCAGAGAGACTCTTGAATTCCAAAGAACACGACGATTAACTCCACAGTGTTTTGCCCGCACCAGAGCTCGACAGAAGAACTCGAGACAGTGTTGCAAGGAACCATGACGCAGGCTTCACAAAGGGAAAAGACAAGCTACGTTGATGTGTAGGGGGGAAGAAAGAAGCTTGACAACATTTATCCAATTTAATGGAGAAGCCAAAAAAAAAAGTCTAGAAGGAAGCTGAGATTCAAAATCTTACAGATACAATTTGCCTGGTGACAGACGGTCCATGAGACGGTCCAGACAGAACAGCCCGAGCAGCTGGGCTATGGTAGGACAATGCTGATAGCACCGAATATAAAGATACAGGAGCCAAGAAGAAAACGACTTCATTGGAAAGAACATGGCTGTGATCACAGCGACAGGCAGATCAAGTACCAAACTGTCAAGCTGCAAAGCTTCCCATCAGTGTTACAGCTCAGGGTCAGAAACCCCCTTTTGTCAACCGTTGGCAAAACAGCTGCTTAAAAAAATGTGGATGCACGGGAGGGATGAAAGGAAATCTGTGAGGGCTGAACTGCTAAACAAAACCATGTGTCAACTGAATTTTTTACTGCTTGTTATTTAGCAAAACCTCAAACAAGTACATACGGAGAAAGAGAAAATGAGGAAGAGCAGCTGAGCCAAGCTGGCTGTGACTAGACCTTCTGGATCGAGTGGTTTGAAACTCAAGAGGGGAGATGGAGATGAGATGTGAGGAAGAAATGTTTTCCTGTGCGGGGGGTGAGGCAGTGGCCCAGGTTGCCCAGAGAAGCTGTGGATGCCCCATCCCTGGAGGGGTTCAAGGCCAGGCTGGATGAGGCTTTGGGCAACCTGGGCTAGTGGGAGGTGTCCCTGCCCATGGCAGCGGGTGGCACTGGGTGGGCTTTAAGGGAACCCTGCAGCTGCCAGGGACCCCCCTCATTTAACCTGCGGTTCTTGGAGCTGAGGAATTACCACCTCCCACTTCCCAGAAAGAGATGAACAAGGTTTCAGGAGAAATTGGTTAAATACAAACCACGGCTTAGCAATGATGCTAAAGCTTATGAAGAAGTGGGTGATTTTTTTACCTTAGGACAATAAAGATTATTATTTTTTTTAATAAGTATGACATTTACCTGTGGAATTTCATAGAGTGAACGTCATCTACTGCCGACAAATAATCAATGCCATTTGTCACTTCAAGAGTTTCATCAATAAGCAGCTCAGCATCCCCGCTCTGGCTCTCCCCCGCCCACCAGCCCTCGGTTGCTGTAGTAACTCCAGCATTTGCATTAGCTTTAATGCAAACAAACAATGCAAACATGGAATCCCAGCTCCGGGAGGAAATCCTGCATGTGTGGGGGGATGTACCAGCTGTTTGCATTGCTGAAACACAAATACTCCATCAATCGCTGTGATGCATGAACATAAGAAAGAGGAGAAGCAGCTCCTTGGTCAAGACAAGCTCCTGGCAAACTCACAGACACTGGAGGAAGCAGATTTTCCAGGAGATGCATTTTTTTTTTTTTTCAGCAGCAGATGAAATATCTTGGCACTGTCTCGATAGCTGACCCTGATGGTTTCTCAGTGACTCAAGCTGCTCTGCTAAAAATCCAGGCGGCACCTCTCCCCTCCAGCCCATCGGTGGAAGGTTGGGTCTCAGTCCTTGCCAGGAACACTCCTGCTGCAGCTCAGTCGCTGTTCCCAGTTTTCCCAGGTGCTCCACACCCCGCAGAGAGCAGAGGGAAGCTGGGGCAGGAGCAGAGACCAGCAGCATCCTCCCCCCCGGCACCCCGAGTGTGGCAGCACAAGGGCGACCCAACCCAACCCAACTCAACCCAACCCAACTCAACCCAACCTAATCAAACCCAACCCAACACAACCCAACCCAACCCAAGCAAACTCAACCCAACCCAAGCAAACTCAACCCAACCCAACTCAACCCACCAGCCCAGAGCCAAACTGGGAAAGCCCAGACTGGGAGGCAGTGCCAGACAGACCGATGTACTCCAAGGACCAAAGGGGTGACAGGCAGAGGGGGTGGCTCAGCGGGGTTGCTGATCACGACAGGGGAGAGGAACAGGACCTTTCTCCAAACGTTCCACAGACATCCCAGCACCTTCTCCACTTATCATCATGAACATCGCCACGTGACCCATCATCTGCCGTGCCACAGAAGAGTTCAATCATGCTTTGAAAACATTCACTCATAAATTCAACACTCCAGAAAGAAACAGGATTAATCCTGGCCCCGTTTCGCATCCCAGATGGATTATCACATCATCCTCTTCCCAAGGAGCAGAGCCTGGCAACTTGCTGCAGTGACATAACTTCAAATCCCTTTTATTTCGTGTTTGGAGAAGACTCCTAGGCTGACTCATTCAGATGGTTTGTTTTCCACCCACCCACAGCTATTCCAGCTTTTCTCTCCTTTCACTTACTCCATTGCTGCCGTGCTCTGCCTTGCCCAGCCCGCTGCCAGCATGGCCGCCTCCCCACCTAAGGTCCCTTCCCACCCAAACCATTCTGGGATTCTGTGATTCTATAAGGAAAACTCAGCTTGGCTGCAAATGTGGCCTTTTTGCTTCCTGGAACTTGTCTTTGTAGGATACAGGTTGATCAGAAGAAGTCAAGTCTTCATTCCTGGTAAGAAATGTACGTGAAATAAAGACTAAATTCAGACAAACTGGCTCTTGCCTAAAGAGAAGCGAAGGCTTCCCCAGTACGCCTTGGTCAGTCGCTCCACATGAGTCAAAGAATGGGAAATAAAAATCCAGTTAATCTGAAACATAACCATTCCACCCACTGTTCATGGTCTTGTCAGAATCACGGAATCCCAGAAGGGTTTGGGTAGGAAAGGACCTTAAAGCCCACCCAGTGCCCCCCCCTGCCATGGGCAGGGACACCTCCCACCAGCCCAGGTTGCCCAAAGCCTCATCCAGCCTGGCCTTGAACCCCTCCAGGGATGGGGCATCCACAGCTTCTCTGGGCAGCTTCCACTTCTCTTCTTCATGGAAGGAAGAGGAAAAATTTCTTCACTGCAAGAGTGATGAGGCATTGGAACAGGCTGCCCAGGGCAGTGGTGGCTTCACCATCCCTGGAGGGGGTCAGGAAACGTGTGGATGTGGTGCTTGGGGACATGGGTTAGTGGGTTGGGTGGGGTTGGGGTGACGGTTGGACTTGATGATCCTTGAGGGCTTTCCCAACCTTCATTATTCTGTGATTCTAAATTTTTATAACTGCGCTGATTTTCCTGGGCGATAGGACGCTGTAACACCAACCGGGTTTCTCTGTCACCCCATTTCTTGGCTTTTCAGGTCCAGATCTGCTGCTCCTCAAGCAGTGCCCAACCTAAAGCCCAGCTCACCGACCGGCGCTGCCGGCACACGGACGGAGAAAACGACACAACACTGCTAACGGACCTGGCGCAGTCTGTTAATGGGACAGAGCCGCTCTTGTGTCTAGGTGCAGGTAATCCAAACACAATCCAGCTCTCTGTAAATATTTAAAGTGGATGGTAAATCTCACGGCGATAAATTAATCTGGTATTTGGTTAGGGAATTCTATTGCATTAAACAAATAACGATCCAAAGGATCTCAAAGTACTTGTCAAATATGCTTTTAGCTATAATAAAGGGAAACAAATCGGCTCTGTTAGAGGGTAAACTGAGGGATGTCCGGCTTCATCCACCTGGCACTGAGGAACAGATACTTAACGAGAAGCAAAACAGGTCCCTTCATTCAGAAACCTCCGACAAGTGCCACCTCCCACCTGGGAAACGTCTCCTTTCTGGGCACCCAGCCTTTTCGCTTCTGTTCACCCATCACAGCCGCTCGAGAAATCAAGGGACACGCTCCGGATGACACCTGACGATGGGGAGACGGCAGAGCCCCCGTCCCATGGCACTGCGGGACCTGGCAGACAGCTCGGTGCGCTGCAGAGGCACCAAAGCTGGGGTGATGGGTGTCAGGGTGCTGCTGGTCCCGGGGGGGCTGAGGCTGGGGGTGCAGCACTCCCCAGTGCTGGGCAAGCCCCCACCCTCTGCCCCCCCCCAGCAGAGCCCGGGGCAGGTACCGGCTGGGCAGTGGCTTGGACGTGGCTTGTGCCGAGCCGTGAAATAAATCACATCGGGTGAAAATCACACATTCTGTTCTGGGATCTCTCCTGGGACCTCTCCTGAAAACCCCCCGGTCTTTGGGGGGCGGGCCAGGAGAAGTCCCCAGGATGGATAACTCAGCGCAGAGCGTTTTGTCTGTTTTTTAACCCCAAATGGTACCACGGTGGTGCCTCGAACCACCTACAAGGAGACGTGTCTCACCTCCATCTCTCGAGAGTTATCAAGAATAAAAATTTAAATTCATTTTTCACCCAATATATCTATTGCTTTGAATTTTACTGCTTGTTTCCTTAAATCTCCCTTTCACCTGAAGCAGTGGTGTTTGGTGCTGGATAAATTCCTGAGCCACAGGAACAGGACACCGATGGGACACAGACAGAAGCAGCAATCGCTTCATCTTGCTTAGATGATAATCTTAGCATACTCCTTCGCACTTGGATTAATTACAGAGCTGCAGACCTCTTTGAACTGGGAAATGGCACGTCTGGAGCCTGGCATGGGAAATCAGAGCTGGGGGATCGCGGGAGTCCCAGGGAATGGGCCGGGGGCCCTGCTCGACGCTCGCTGAAGCCTCTTCACCACATTCCAGGAGACATCAGAGAACAAGCTCCGCAGCCCCGAGATGGGAAAAAGCTTCCCCCGGCTCCATGCCCTGGTCCGTGTGCTGCAATCCCACCGACAAGGAGGTATTTCTGGTTTAGGAGCCTGCAGGAAGCAGCCGTGGGGCTCCCATCTAGGCTGGTTTGATTTTAATGCCTTTATACTCACAGTGAATAGAGAGTAGCTTCAAGAGAGAAGAAAAATCCCCGAGATTCTGCCCCTGAGCCCCATCCCCCCAGCAGCTTCGGAGAGCAGACACCTCCACTGACCGCCCAAAACTACTAAATCCACCGCTCGCGATCGCTGCTTCTGCAGCAGAAAAGGTCATTGAGTGTTTCCCGAAAGTGCCGATCGCTAATGGCTGTTGAAAACCGCAAAAAATCTGCTGTTTTGCAATCTGTTCCGTAAGGAATAATCGGTTTGAGATGAAGAGCCTCTCACCATACCCTGCAGGGTGAACTGGAGACACATCCACTGAGCCAACCAGCAAATATTCCCTTCTAAAAAGCATTACATCTCTACGGGAGCGAAAAATTCAAAGCGGATTTCCTCTATTCCTGTACCTGATACGTACTCTGATGGCAAAACCCATAATAAACCCTTACTGACATGAGCCAGCCCCACGGGCACGGTTCATCACACACTTCTGTCTGCGTGACCGGCGGAGATGAAACTCCAGCGCCACGACACGGTGAATGGCCGCTCATCTCAAGCCATCACCGGTAATTCACTCTGCCACTCACGGAGCATCTCGGCAACACTCCTCCTCCAAGCTCCTTTGCTGCTGGTGGGAATCGGGACAATTTTCAGCCTTGGGAAGGGCGGCGTGGGACGTGCCGGCTCCAGCCCTCGTCAGTGAGCAGCGATGGCAGGAACGCGTCCACGACGTCTCTGCCACCCCTGTGCAATGCCACCGACTGACCAAAAAGCTTCGCTCATAACACAGGCCAGGTATAAACAAAAAAAGTGAACTGTGCCTGAATAAATAACTTTTTAATAACTGGAAGCGAAACCAGCTAATTGGATAACCCAGGTGAGACTGTGCTAACAGCTAGACTTAAAAAAAAATTTGAAGAAATAATGGCAGCGGCGTATCACTATCCACTGGCCAAGAGCTGGGCAGCCCAGAGCGGGGAGGCTGCAAAAAAAGCCAAAAAATCCCAAAAACCTGAATTTCTCCATTAGATTGTGAGCAGAGCCGTGTCCCACAGAGCGAGGGTGCATCCTCGCCACTATTCCAGCAGCGGACTGCAGCAGACGCTCAAAAATCCAGGTGAAAAGCAGAGGAAGCCCAAAGTGCTGGGTTTGATGGTGTAAATCCCCAGCTGGCAGCAATCAAAGCTGCTCCCGGGCAGGAATTTGTGCCCAGACTATTGCAGCTGCACCACGGGAAGGAAGGACGCCCTCAAATTAATTTAAACCTCCCGCAGAGGAGACACAAG